TCGCGAATTTTGATGTAAATCTGGCCCTTAAAAGGTTCTACCACGGCGTGACGGACGTCGGTCAGCTCGAACCTAGCGGACGGGATAGTCTCAGCTCGGCGACGCTTGCTTGGGTCAGAATTTGGGAACGGTGCACTTCGATCTTCAGCACGAGTCATCATGCGCTGCTCCAGTCGCTCAAGTCGCTGGGGGTCTGCATTGGCTAACCATTCGGGCTTCGCTGGTGCGTACTCGCGTACTTCTTTACGACTACCGGCCGCGTCAAATGACGGCAGTGATGAGGTAGGCGCAGTGTAGAAACTCTCTGGTGCAGCCATCTTGTTTACAAGGTTTGATGATGTCGTCGATATTACAGAACTGAAGCGGTATGACCAAACACTTCTACCCAGCGGCCTATTTATCACGCTTGCTTCTTTTGTCCGATAACCTTGCTCAAGTCTCCCTTTGTCCGCTATTTCGGCTCAAGTCTCCCTTTGTCCGCTATTTCGGCTCAAGTCTCCCTTTGTCCGCTATTCCGGTTCAGGTCTTCCTCTGTCCGCTATTCCATCTAGCCGGGTGTGTTGCCCCCCTTTGTCCAATACATTTTTTAGACCCATCCTTTGTCCGGTAAAACCTACATACGCCCATGCGCTCTTTTATTATGCTAACATCATCCATCGATATGCTAATTAGTTTCATTGATATGCTAATGAGTCCATTGTCTTTGTGCATTATGCATAAAATTCTTTTGTCTTGTCCGATGAAGACCCAACACACTACTCATGTGTCCTGTGCAGGTCCATGATGAAGAAGATGAGGGTCGCTGGTGAAGAAGATGACGGGCAGCTTTCGTCGATTTAAAAGTTAAGTAGTTGTAAATTTTACCCCGTCTTGAACTCGGGTCTGAAAAGTTGGATCACTGTCCTCTTTTCAGATCTGGGGGCCGGACAACCGTGTTGTTTTGTTTGATGTAGTGTGGGCCCTTGTCTCTGTGTTGAAGTCTAAGAGTTTATTTCCGAAACCCGCGATCTTGCCATTTGGAACACTTGCGCAAAATGTCTGAAATTGTGCGACTGAAAATTCTTATATTTTGGGAGCTTTATTGTCTCCAACAAGTCGAAATTGAGCGGGCGCAGCACGAAAAGAGCAACGAAAAAGCATCGCGTCTTGCTGGAAATGAACTCTTTCTTTGTATGTGTATGTGTTATTTATGTGGAATTTTGAAAGATGTACATTTGTGACTAGTGATTAACATTCTTGTGGTTTTTTTTGCAGTCTTTTTTTTTGATGTCTTTTTGTTCATGTGTCCTGTGCAGGCCCATGAAGAAGAAGATGAAGGTCTCTGGCGCAGAAGAAGACGCTGGGCAGTTTTCGTCGACTTAAAAGTTAAGTACTTGTAAATTTCACCCCCTCTTGAACTCGGGTCTGAAAAGTTGGATCACTGTCCTCTTTTCAGATCTGGGGGCAGGACAACCGTGTTGTTTTGTTTGATGTAGTGTGGGCCCTTGTCTCTGTGTTGAAGTCTAAGAGTTTATTTCCGAAACCCGCGATCTAGCCATTTGGAACACTTGCGCAAAATGTCTGAAATTGTGCGACTGAAAATTCTTATATTTTGGGAGCTTTATTGTCTCCAACAAGTCGAAATTGAGTGGGCGCAGCATGAAAAGCGTTACGAAATAGCATCGCGTCTGGCTGGAAGTGAACTCTTTCTTTGCATGTGTATGTGTTATTTATGTATGTGTTGAATTTTGAAATATGTACATTTGTGACTGGTATTAACATTGTTCTTGCCTATTTTAGGCAGTCTTTTTTCTGTCTTTTTGTCCGTGTGTCCTGTGCAGGTCCATGATGAAGAAGATGAGGGTCGCTGGTGAAGAAGATGACAGGCAGCTTTCGTCGATTTAAAAGTTAAGTAGTTGTAAATTTTACCCCGTCTTGAACTCGGGTCTTAAAAGTTGGATCACTGTCCTCTTTTCAGATCTGGGGGCCGGACAACTGTGTTGTTTTGTTTGATGTAGTGTGGGCCCTTGTCTCTGTGTTGAAGTCTAAGAGTTTATTTCCGAAACCCGCGATCTAGCCATTTGGAACACTTGCACAAAATGTCTGAAATTCTGCGACTGAAAATTCTGATATTTTGGGAGCTTTATTGTCTCCAACAAGTCGAAATTGAGTGAGCGCAGCATGAAAAGCGTAACGAAATAGCATCGCGTCTCGCTGGAAGTGAACTCTTTCTTTGCATGTGTATGTGTTATTTATGTATGTGTTGAATTTTGAAAGATGTACATTTGTGACTGTTATTAACATTGTTCTTGCCTATTTTAGGCAGTCTTTTTTCTGTCTTTTTGTCCGTGTGTCCTGTGCAGGTCCATGATGAAGAAGATGAGGGTCGCTGGTGAAAAAAAGATGACGGGCAGCTTTCGTCGATTTAAAAGTTAAGTAGTTGTAAATTTTACCCCCTCTTGAACTCGGGTCTGAAAAGTTGGATCACTGTCCTCTTTTCAGATCTGGGGGCCGGACAACTGTGTTGTTTTGTTTGATGTAGTGTGGGCCCTTGTCTCTGTGTTGAAGTCTAAGAGTTTATTTCCGAAACCTGCGATCTAGCCATTTGGAACACTTGCGCAAAATGTCTGAAATTGTGCGACTGAAAATTCTTATATTTTGGGAGCTTTATTGTCTCCAACAAGTCGAAATTGAGTGGGCGCAGCGTGAAAAGAGCAACGAAAAAGCATCGCGTCTTGCTGGAAATGAACTCTTTCTTTGTATGTGTATGTGTTATTTATGTGGAATTTTGAAAGATGTACATTTGTGACTGGTGATTAACATTCTTGTGGTTTTTTTTTTGCAGTCTTTTTTTTTGATGTCTTTTTGTCCGTGTGTCCTGTGCAGGCCCATGAAGAAGAAGATGAAGGTCTCTGGCGCAGAAGAAGACGCTGGGCAGTTTTCGTCGACTTAAAAGTTAAGTACTTGTAAATTTCACCCCCTCTTGAACTCGGGTCTGAAAAGTTGGATCACTGTCCTCTTTTCAGATCTGGGGGCCGGACAACTGTGTTGTTTTGTTTGATGTAGTGTGGGCCCTTGTCTCTGTGTTGAAGTCTTAGAGTTTATTCCGAAACCCGCGATCTAGCCATTTGGAACACTTGCACAAAATGTCTGAAATTGTGCGACTGAAAATTCTGATATTTTGGGAGCTTTATTGTCTCCAACAAGTCAAAATTGAGTGAGCGCAGCATGAAAAGCGTAACGAAATAGCATCGCGTCTGGCTGGAAGTGAACTCTTTCTTTGCATGTGTATGTGTTATTTATGTATGTGTTGAATTTTGAAAGATGTACATTTGTGACTGGTATTAACATTGTTCTTGCCTATTTTAGGCAGTCTTTTTCTGTCTTTTTGTCCGTGTGTCCTGTGCAGGTCCATGATGAAGAAGATGAGGGTCGCTGGTGAAGAAGATGACGGGCAGCTTTCTTCGATTCTAAAGTTAAGTAGTTGTAAATTTTACCCCGTCTTGAACTCGGGTCTGAAAAGTTGGATCACTGTCCTCTTTTCAGATCTGGGGGCAGGAGATCCGTGTTGTTTTGTTTGATGTAGTGTGGTCCCTTGTCTCTGTGTTGAAGTCCGAGAGTTTATTTCCGAAACCCGCGATCTAGCCATTTGGAACACTTGCGCAAAATGTCTGAAATTGTGCGACTGAAAATTCTTATATTTTGGGAGCTTTATTGTCTCCAACAAGTCGAAATTGAGTGGGCGCAGCATGAAAAGAGCAACGAAAAAGCATCGCGTCTTGCTGGAAATGAACTCTTTCTTTGTATGTGTATGTGTTATTTATGTGGAATTTTGAAAGATGTACATTTGTGACTGGTGATTAACATTCTTGTGGTTTTTTTTGCAGTCTTTTTTTTTGATGTCTTTTTGTCCGTGTGTCCTGTGCAGGCCCATGAAGAAGAAGATGAAGGTCTCTGGCGCAGAAGAAGACGACGGGCAGCATTCGTCGATTTAAAAGTTAAGTACTTGTAAATTTCACCCCCTCTTGAACTCGGGTCTGAAAAGTTGGATCACTGTCCTCTTTTCAGATCTGGGGGCAGGACAACCGTGTTGTTTTGTTTGATGTAGTGTGGGCCCTTGTCTCTGTGTTGAAGTCTAAGAGTTTATTTCCGAAACCCGCGATCTAGCCATTTGGAACACTTGTGCAAAATGTCTGAAATTGTGCGACTGAAAATTCTGATATTTTGGGAGCTTTATTGTCTCCAACAAGTCGAAATTGAGTGGGCGCAGCATGAAAAGCGTAACGAAATAGCATCGCGTCTAGCTGGAAGTGAACTCTTTCTTTGCATGTGTATGTGTTATTTATGTATGTGTTGAATTTTGAAAGATGTACATTTGTGACTGGTATTAACATAGCCCTGCCTATATTTGGCAGCCTTTTTTTTCTGTCTTTTTGTCAGTGTGTCCTGTGCAGGTCCATGAGGAAGAATATGAGGGTCGCTGGTGAAGAAGATGACGGGAAGCTTTCGTCGATTTAAAAGTTAAGTAGTTGTAAATTTTACCCCCTCTTGAACTCGGGTCTGAAAAGTTGGATCACTGTCCTCTTTTCAGATCTGGGGGCAGGACAACCGTGTTGTTTTGTTTGATGTAGTGTGGGCCCTTGTCTCTGTGTTGAAGTCTAAGAGTTTATTTCAGAAACCCGCGATCTAGCCATTTGGAACAATTGTGCAAAATGTCTGAAATTGTGCGACTGAAAATTCTGATATTTTGGGAGCTTTATTGTCTCCAACAAGTCGAAATTGAGTGGGCGCAGCATGAAAAGCGTAACGAAATAGCATCGCGTCTAGCTGAAAGTGAACTCTTTCTTTGCATGTTCATGTGTTATTTATGTATGTGTTGAATTTTGAAAGATGTACATTTGTGACTGGTATTAACATTGTTCTTGCCTATTTTAGGCAGTCTTTTTTTCTGTCTTTTTGTCCGTGTGTCCTGTGCAGGTCCATGATGAAGAAGATGAGGGTCGCTGGTGAAGAAGATGACAGGCAGCTTTCGTCGATTTAAAAGTTAAGTAGTTGTAAATTTTACCCCGTCTTGAACTCGGGTCTGAAAAGTTGGATCACTGTCCTCTTTTCAGATCTGGGGGCAGGACAACCGTGTTGTTTTGTTTGATGTAGTGTGGGCCCTTGTCTTTGTGTTGAGGTCTAAGAGTTTATTTCCGAAACCCGCGATCTAGCCATTTGGAACACTTGCGCAAAATATCTGAAATTGTGCGACTGAAAATTCTTATATTTTGGGAGCTTTATTGTCTCCAACAAGTCAAAATTGAGTGGGCGCAGCATGAAAAGCGTAACGAAGTAGCATCGCGTCTGGCTGGAAGTGAACTCTTTCTTTGCATGTGTATGTGTTATTTATGTATGTGTTGAATTTTGAAAGATGTACATTTGTGACTGGTATTAACATTGTTCTTGCCTATTTTAGGCAGTCTTTTTTCTGTCTTTTTGTCCGTGTGTCCTGTGCAGGTCCATGATGAAGAAGATGAGGGTCGCTGGTGAAGAAGATGACGGGCAGCTTTCGTCGATTTAAAAGTTAAGTAGTTGTAAATTTTACCCCGTCTTGAACTCGGGTCTGAAAAGTTGGATCACTGCTCTCTTTTCAAATCTGTGGGCCGGACAACCGTGTTGTTTTGTTTGATGTAGTGTGTGCCCTTGTCTCTGTGTTGAAGTCTAAGAGTTTATTTCCGAAACCCACGATCTAGCCATTTGGAACACTTGTGCAAAATGTCTGAAATTGTGCGACTGAAAATTCTTATATTTTGGGAGCTTTATTGTCTCAAACAAGTCGAAATTGAGTGGGCGCAGCATGAAAAGCGTAACGAAATAGCATCGCGTCTGGCTGGAAGTGAGCTCTTTCTTTGCATGTGTATGTGTTATTTATGTATGTGTTGAATTTTGAAAGATGTACATTTGTGACTGGTATTAACATTGTTCTTGCCTATTTTAGGCAGTCTTTTTTCTGTCTTTTTGTCCGTGTGTCCTGTGCAGGTCCATGAGGAAGAAGATGAGGGTCGCTGGTGAAGAAGATGACGGGCAGCATTCGTCGATTTAAAAGTTAAGTGGTTGTAAGTTTTACCCCCTCTTGAACTCGGGTCTGAAAAGTTGGATCACTGTCCTCTTTTCAGATCTGGGGGCAGGAAAACCGCGTTGTTTTGTTTGATGTAGTGTGGGCCCTTGTCTCTGTGTTGAAGTCCAAGAGTTTATTTCCGAAACCCGCGATCTAGCCATTTGGAACACTTGTGCAAAATGTCTGAAATTGTGCGAGTGAAAATTCTTATATTTTGGGAGCTTTATTGTCTCCAACAAGTCGAAATTGAGTAGATGCAGCATGAAAAGCATAACTCTTTTGTTGATAATAGCCTTAACATGTATGGAATGTAATGTTTTGTGTTAAAAAGACCTCATTAGCTAGAAACACTGATCTCACAGTTTTCTTAACCAGTTTGCGCTGGATAACGTGTATATCTGCAAAGGTTTTGCAGTATTTGGAACGGATGACAGATAAACACACACACAGTGGCGTAGCCACCGGGGGGGGGGGGGGCGTGGGGGGGCAACCGCCCCCCCCATGAAACCTTGTCGCCCCCCCAGTCGCCCCCCCCCCCCCACTGAGATTTTGAGTTTCTAAAAAAATTATCATTGATCTACATGACGCCATTGGCCCTATTATGTACTACAATGTATCTTTTGCTTAGAAAATATTGGTTAAAGTGGTCAGAAATTGCCTCAGATAGCACCACAGAGCATTTAGAATCCAAAATATTTCGGGGCCCTTAAACGGGCCCGAACCCCACGCCTATAGCTCAGAATTCTGGTAGCTGATTCAATGACTCCAACCTCGAAAACAATGTTCACTAAATTTTCTTATGCCTTTAGCTGAGAAAACCTCGAAAATTATGTTTAAATTATTATCTTTTGTGCTAAGATAATTATTGGTTAAAGTGGTAAGAAATTGCCTCAGATCACACCACAGAGCATGGAAAATCCAATTTTTTTCGGGGCCCTTAAGCGGGCCCCGAACCCCACGCCAATAGCTCAGAATACCAATAGCTGATTCAATGTCTCCAACCTCGAAAACGATGTTCAAATGATTATCTTTTGCCAAAAAAATATTAGTTAAAGCACGGAGGAACGTTGTAAGAAATTGCTTCAAATCACATCACAGAACATCTAGAATCCAATTTTTTTTTCGGGGCCCTTAAGCAGGCCCCGAACCCCACGCCGTAAGGGCTTCGCGCTTCGCGCTTGCATCAGTTATGATCAAGGTATGTCCCCCCCCCCACTTTTGAGAAGCAATTGACGCCCCTGCTTGATGCCCCCCCATGAAAAAATCCTGGCTACGCCACTGCACACACACACACACAAATATCCATCAGCGACCCGCTTGCAGCAAGCGAGGCTGGAAACATGAGTGTGCTGCCCCATGAGTGTGCTGTTTCCAGGGCCTCGTTCCATTCTGGTCAAAATAATCCCGGCGTGAACTGGTTAAGAGTCCTCTCGGAGTGAAGGTACTGCATTTTTCAAACATCATTTGTAACAGTTGAACAAAGAAATTAACTGGAGCAGGGTTTGAACCCCTGACCTCTGGACTGCCATTCCAGTGCCCTACCAACTGAGCTGTGTTGGCGGTTCCCCATTTTGTCAATGTCTTTGTTCAAGGGGTGCTAGTCTAAACCTTTATATGCCATGTAGCCATGGATCACGCCCAAAGTCACGATGCTAGCAACATAAGGAATGCTGCAAACCTGGGAAATAGCAAACGGGATCTCTCATAGAGGATACGGCTTTTTATTACAAATAACATTCCTTTTTTTCATGCAGGTTATTCCAAAGCCACGTGTGCCGATTGTTCATTTCAGTCTGGCTGCACCACCTTTTATCATCTGTGTCAAAATGGTAGGTATTTTATTTCTTTAAAAACGCTCTGCAGAAAAATTGTCGATTTCTGTCCACAATTAAATTTGCTTTGTACATTTTTGTATTGTCAGACCCCCTAAGGCTACGTGGTCCTTTTTCTACGCATTTACCTTGAATTTGTGTGTGACAACGCGCGCGTATGCAAGCGCTACCTGCGCAGATAATGGAGGGTCGAGGATACACTACCATATACATAATCTGACATTGTTACTAATTACCATTTTCCCCAAATCAAACTGAATGAGGAATTTCATGATTACCTTAATTTGTACATGTTTTGTGTAAACTAGAAAAGTATAATTTCTAGAGAATTCCATTTCCAATTTAAACCAATAACAAAAAAAATAGATTCTCATCACTACGAGACCTGAAATGACAGTTACATTTTGAGCCCCTACTTTACTCTACAGTTTTAGCATTGAACATATGCAGCTGCTGCTATCTACATTTTTCAGTATAATAACGCTTAAACATGAAATAACTTTGTAATTTTCTTTTGACAATCAGGACCTTACTGGTGGCAGTTTTGAGAGCAACTTGGCTTCTCTAAACCTCGTTGAGGAAAAAGATTACATCTTCTTCAGCTGACACTGACATTGGTGAAGTGAGACTCAATATTTAAAAGTTTATTGCATTTTTAAACAATATTTTTTGAAAACCATTTTCCATGGCCAATTATCACAAATTCACTACAATTGTTGAAGCTCTTAAGACCCTAGACATCCACTACCACGACGACCTTTTCTTGATTACATTAGATTTTGAAAGCTTACATACCAACATTATATTGCATTTTATTGTTTTATTTTGCATTTGTCACAAATTAATATAATGCTAATGCAACAGTTTATTTTCTACAACAATAACTAAACTTAATAGAATGCTAATACATGTACAACACTTTGATCAATTAAACATAAATGGTGACAGATGTGGGAACCAGGAAAAAAGCCTAAGCTTATACAGAGCCTGTCCCGTTTGTGAATAACTTATGAAATAAACAATAATTAAAGCTATAAATTAAATCAGTGATCAATAAATTAATTAATTAATTACTTGGCATAATAGTAGAAAAACTGAAGGAAATTGAAATATACTGATTTACAATATAACATTTGATTTTAATGGAATGTGACTGATACAGATGTGAATTATGGATGCATGTCTTATATAATACCGGAAATAAGTAGATTTTTTAGATATCTTTTGAATTTATGCACAGTCCAGAAGAAGGGTATAGGTGTAAGCTGATTCCAGAGAAGGGGGCCTTGGTGTCTAACTGTTTTCATGAATGATGCAGTCCTAGCCTTACCAATGTGAATTGTGTGTGTGTTATGTAAATTGACATCTAAATTCCTCACAAACATGGACCTGATATTTGTAGGTAGTAGGTTACCTTCGAATTTCAACATTAGGATTCCTAGATGGTATTTGTACAGTTCAAAAATATTTAGTGTTTTTTTATTGTTTAAAAAGGGGCGCAGAGTGTTCTCTGGAACCGCAATTTGTGATGACTCTCATCAGCTTCTTCTGTACTATTTATAATTTATTCAAATAAGTACTATGAGTATTTCCCCATGCTAGAATGCACCACAAGATATCTATAACACACTTCTCAAACTTGCCACCTTGCTGGAATACCCTCCAGAATTTCACACATATTTCAAAGAACTACATACATTCACCAGCAATTACAGCAACTTCAAAATAGGTAATCACATCTTCAAACAGAATCTGGCGATACAAATGGGATCATACCACTCAGCACAACTCTCAAACCTCATATTAGCTCACAGAGAATACAACTTCCATAATCATCACAAATATCCAAACATTTTTATATTTCAAAGATACATGGACGACGGCTTCATCATCATGTGAAACACCAAAGAGTTCAACCGTACACATCTCATCAAACTACTCGCCCACATCTATCCAAAATCCATACTAATCACAGTATACTTCTCAGACCTATGCATTTCCATCAACCACCATACATTACAATACGATAAATTACATTTTTTACCACAAACCATTCCAAAATTTCACATACGTACACTCTACTTCCAATCACAATACTAACATTTTTTCAAGCATCATTAAAGGCGAATGTCACAGAAATAACACACACAGTGCACTCACTCTTGTTTTACTATACTCCCGAGAACAATGCTTTGTATTTCCCTTTGTCCCTGTTTAATACTCTCCCATAGACTAAGCACACAAACCTACAACACAATTGAAGAGGCAAGAATGGCTCGACTATTAGACTGTTCAGCCTTCTGCAATTCTACATGTTATTTTTGTAAATAAATAGTTTCTTTTGTTTCAACAGTACATTAAATATAATGTAAATAGCCAACACAATTTTTCTCTCGCCTAAATCCCACCCAGAAAGCTTCATAACAACAATTTGAGTTCAAACCGATAACCTCAACGATCACTTTCACCTTAAGAATCCTCTTCCATAAGAACCATCCTGAAATCTAGGTATACCACCAATAGCCCCTAATATAGAAAAATAAAACAAAAATCAAGTGAATTTTTTTTTAATTGTTGATTTATCGCAACACTTTTATATAAACATTAATAATATTAACTCAAACAGTCCTCTATCCTTCAAATTTGTTTGACATGATATTTCACACATGGATATAGAGTTAGGATTACGATTAATGCAATCCTTGGAAATGCACCAATCTGTCCCATTTAGCCCTATTTTCAATTTTCATTCTGCCGTTTTTAAGTGTATTTTAGTGTTTTTCTGTTTTTTTTATGCTGATACAAATTTCCATATTAAAGAGCGAAAGTGTGATGTCATATCAGACAGAAACCACAATGTTGCAATTGGTGTTGTACAAAAAGTTGCCAGAAATTTGGATATCTCGTTGTCGCAATTTTTCTTTAGTAATTCGTTGTTATGTCAATACATGGCAGTAAGCCAATGAACAAACCTTTCTCACAAATATTTCAATAAAACAATTTAGGTTCAGAATTTCTACAGAATAACAGCTAATGAGAACAGTGTCTCCCTGAAATGACATCAAAGAAACAGCGCCCTTAGTTATCCACAAGGCATGATTTATGAATGTTCCATTCCACTCGGCTTCGCCTCTCTTCTAAAAAATATCCTCCTGGCCAAGATCGTCAGTCTCCTCCATAATTCCCTTCTAAAAATATCCTCCCAGCCAAGATGGCTAGTCTTCTCCATAATTCCCTTCTATATCTTAGCCAAGACAGTTATTCTCCTCCATATTCCCTTCTGAAAAAAATATCCTCTTATGGCCAAGATGGTTGGTCTCCTCCATAATTCCTTTCTAAAAAAAAATATCTTCCATGCCAAGATGGTTAGTCTCCTCCATAATTCCCTTCTAAAAAATATCCTCCTAGCCAAGATGGTTCGTCTCCTCAACTATTCTCCTCGATATTTCTCTCTTAAATAATCAATAAAAAAAGAGTTGATAAATTATTAATACCTCGATATACAAATACTTTTGCAACGAACGAGTCAAAAAAGCGGGACCCAAACCCCCCCAAAAATATATTTCATATTTAAAAAAAATATGTAGCACCAAAAAGAATGACTGGAAAGCCAATTTCATAAACTACTTTCAGATGAAAAACATCTGAAATTGCTCAATCTGTAAATCTCACCATTTAAACGCAATGACCCTAGTACCACTTTCGCCCAACAAATTACGATTTCGAGAATCGTCGTCACAATTGTCTTCCAACATCACCAGCGATAAAACCTCAGTTTAAAAGTTAAAAATATTAAACAAAGTCCGTTTGAAGGCCCGTCTTTACAAAAAAAAGTTGATTTTATAAGTCATATTGTTTGCCTAAGCAGGGTTGTTAATAAAGATATTGTGTATTACAGTTGTTGACAGCTGTTGAAACAAGTATTATGTGTCATTTTCTTTGTTGTTCCAAACAGTCAGAATACACAATAAATTGATTGCTTTTTGGGGACGAAACAGGTTTTAGGGTCAGTGCGTTTAAATGGTGATATTCTATTAAATGACTTGCTCCAACGCCTCCTGCATTAACTCGGCAATTGAGATTTTTCATCCATATAATGCATGTTTGTTTCCAATCTGTGTTCACCGCATAATAGTTTACCCGCTGCTATGTACATCAGATTCGAACCAGCCAACCAATCCCGTTAGCTCGGTGGTCGAGTGGTGAGACATCTGTACAAGAAAGCAGGAGGTCGTGGGTTCGAGTCCCACCCGAGTGATTTTTCCAACTTTCACTCGGGAGGTAACACACTGAGTACATAGGGTTTGAACGTCGGTGAAGGGCAAAGCCTGATTTGATTTAATCTGTGTTCAATGGGTAGCTTTGCCACAATGTTGAGATTTCAAGCATTAATTTAATTTTGTTGATTGCAACATTGGCTTGTTGAAATACTGAAACCAGTTGCACTCTCTCAATGAATGTTGTCATTTTTTCCAAGCAGGTTATTCCTATAAGCTATACACTCTAAATATCAGATTGGTTGAAATATACAATATTGGTTCCTAGGTATTCCCAGCATTCATTTTAGTCAAGCTGCACCATCTGTTTCACCTCTCTCGTTCCTTTCCATGCGGAGTATGTGTTTGGTATTACATGTATAGGAAAGTATAAAAAGGAAATGAAAGTATAAATGGAAAGTGCGATTTTATCATTTTTGTTTAACCCCCTTTTTATATATAAATAGGGTACAAAAAGAAAACATGACCTGGTATCCTTGCAAGTTCAGAAAAGCTAGAGAGAAAAATGACATGGGTCAAATTTAGAAAATAATGTATTGTATTCTGCAATCCACCACAAGCATGCTATTTGATCATATTTTACTTCTAAGAAAATAAAAGTTGAACCACAATTCAGCATCTGCTTTATTTGTTCGCAATTCATCATTGATATTTGTTATCTTCCAAAATCAAAGTATATAAATCTGTTTCTTCAAAAGTTCAGTGTTATGTGTCACCGCCAGTGATGGAGTTGAAGGGGAAATGTGCAATAATTTAATTGACACATTGAACATTTGAAGAAGTAACTACAAACAGCATTACTAAAATGAAAGTCCTGTCACTTAGCATAACGTGGCAATGTTACTCATTGTGACTTTTGTCCCTAATTAAAATGATAAACTAAACTTGTACATGTTTTGTGCACATTAGAAAAATTTAATTTCTAGACTAATTCCACGGTGCAGACCAATAACCCAAACAACAGATTCTAATTACGACAAGACCTAAAATAAAATTAATCTTTTGAGCACCTACTTTACTTTATAGTTCTTTCAGTAAACATTTAATACTCGTCCATACAGTCTACATTTTGCAATCTTTAACAGATTAAGTCTTCTTCAACTGACATTCTTGTTGTCTCTATAATTACTGCAAAAATTGATAATGCACCACAGTTTTATATTATATAAATATACAATGACATTATCAAAAGCAAATGGTTGGACATGAAGCTTAAAAAAATATGGAGATTTATACTTGATATACTCATTAGACAGAAATGCAGTGAACATTTAGTACTGGAAGATCAAAGAATGGGAGGTTTGCGTTAAGGAAGCATCATGTGTAAAGTGGATAAGAAAACCACTATGATGTGAAAAAGGAGCAATGTACCCTCGTGGCCGGTTCGAAAATGCTGGAAAAACCAAGAAAAACAAAATTGTTCAAGTAGTCTGGTTCCCAGACTCCACTACAGATGAAAAGGATAAAAAAAATGCCGGAAATTGTAAGGTAAGGGAACCAGTCTAGCTTGCCTGCACCCGTTCATGAACATGGAACCAATAGCAAACAAAATTTGGACTGAAAAAAAAAATGGTTAATTGGGTTAGGTTTTTCCAACGGTGGTCGGCCGACCACCGAAGTTGGAAATGTATACAAAAGTACCATTTGAAATGACTTCACACCAGATGCCCTAAATTTACAGTATGCTTTAGACTGTCATTTATTACCAACATCCTATTAAGGTATTTCGTAACAACTTGGTAGTTTTATTTCTCGATGTTTGCAAATGTTGTATTTCCCTTTAACAGGGTGAGTGAGTGATATGATGGCTCCACACATGATTTGTTTTCTCATGAACACGCATGCTGGAATTTGCATCCTTGTGGAGTCATTTCTTTGTTCTCGTGTACTAAAGTTTTCAAGCTTGAAGGTGTACCTGCAAAATGCGCCTCTTTTAACCACAATTAATTTCCTGGGTTGAAATTCGGACTTAATAACCCTTACATAAAATACTTCAATTTGCGATTGGAAATTCCTAGTTTTTGAGCAAAAACCATTTATCTATTTCGTGATAACTTTTTGGAGATTCACCTATAGAAATTGCTCTGTGGAGACGTATACAATCTTTTGTGCACATGTCTCGACAGGGTACCGTGTACCAGATCAAACATATGTGTGAAGTTTAATGCGTTTATCAAACGTAGGCACGATCCTTACACACTGGATATCATCCCCCCATATTTTAAGTGGCTGCCACGATTAATTCTAAAGGGGGTGAGTTCAGTGCAATTATGGCTTCCCTTTTTCCATGAATGTAAATGTACATGTTAGGTTTCATAATTTATGACAGTTGGGCACAATTTTTCCACGGTGGCCTTATGAGTGTCCCGCCCCCACTTTTAAAAGACATACCACGTCTCTAAAAGGGTGAGTTAATGATGGCTTCATCAGTACCTGATTTTTGTTTGTTCTCATGTTCTCATGTTCTGCATGAAGTTTAATTCATTTAGAAAGTGTAGGCACACATTTTTTTTCACGGTGGGCAAAAAGAGTCAACCCCCCCCCCCCCCACTCCCCATTTAAAAAGAAGTGACTGCTATGCCTCTTTCAGGGACAAATTATCTCATGAATATACGTCTGCGTAAAGTTTCACGCAATATGAATACAATAAGTCCACATTTCATCAGTATTTCTGTCACATATCCGCTGGACTATGAGTGGTGATATTAATCTTACTTATACAGGACAAACGTTCACACAAAAAGTTTGTTCAAAAAAAAATACGGGAAAATGTGGAATCAGTCTTGGGTAGGTTGACGCACTTCGGGTCGTCGTCGTTTTCGCACACGGAGTGAAACTTGAAATGGGCGCCGCCGATTTTTATTTCAGAGGCCGTCGTGTGGCTGTTACATGAATCGTGTCTCTGCCCTCTGCTGTCAGTTCCTCCTCCCTGCACGTTGTTACCGCCAGAAACAGAGGGATTGTGTTTCAGTGCGATACTTCGTTGATCCGTCCTTTACTACATGTCAAAGTCAGCTGCACAAAACAGCCGTGAGTGCGCAATGTTGTTTACTATGGCTGTTGCACGTGGAGTTAGCTGCATTGAAATACATAACACTACTTAGTTTCAGTGGCGGTTGTTGAAAGAAAAAGACGATAACCACACACGTTGGAGCTGTTTGCTTGGAAGTTCAAAGGGGCTTCTTCCTCAACTTTTTCAAGTAAGTATCTATAGAAGGGAACTTCTTCGTGGACGAGTACGACACTGACAATTTGTCGTAAAAAAATCGTTTGCATCAAAACAGGAGGTGGTGTCCGGAAATTGGGCAATAGGCCTTCGTGCGTGACACTAGCCCCATTAATGTGGCCTATTTACGGGACTGCCTCCGTAAACATAGGCCACATGCACATCCACATGTACAAAAACATGTCGCACTTTGCCAAATTTTGATTTTCACATTTAGGCTTAATTTGTAGGGGTTTTTTGCTTTAGAAGCATACTCACCCTCTTTATAGGCTAATCAGACAGTGCTGCCTTTTTCAGTTGTCTATTTTTCGTGAAATTTCCAGATTCATTTGCACACGTTTGCGTATCAAAATTTCAACATGAAATTTCACAAAAATTAGCCATCTGAAAAAGGCAGCACTTTCTGATTAGCCTATAAAGAGGGTGAGTATGCTTCTTCAGCAAAAAAAAAACCCTACAAACTAAGCCTAAATGTGAAAATCAAAATTTGGCAAAGTGCGACACGTTTTTGTACATGTGGATGTGTGGCCTATGTTCACGGAGGCGGCAGTCCAGTAAATAGGCCACATTTATGGGGCTAGTGTGACACTAGC